GTTATTTAGTTCCAAAGACATTTACAACAAGCTAGTTTACCAATTGGCTGAACGGTCACTTTTGCGAGAACTTGATCTTGCTTTTTCTGGTTATCAGTTTCGTCTGGTAACATGTCAATAAGAACAATTCGGGAATTTCCATAATAATTTGAATTTCACGTCAGGTCATAATTGGTCCCCGATTACTTAAACATGTTGACGGAAACACCCGATTGGTTTCCGATCATGAAAAATAACGTGTTATGTTTTTCGCTTTTATTGGATTAAAACTGCATTTTTGGTCGATAAGTATTTTTACGATATCTGTGTTTCAATGTAAATGCGCCTCTTCCAACTTACAATTTTAAGTTAAGACAAAAATACATACTAACTGTTCTGAGGATCAACAGATCACGTTAGCTGTGTATAAATTACACAAATCAATGAGGTCTAAATGCGCGACAGACTACACAACAAAAGTATATACATTTGGGAACATAGTACTCGAATGTGATACTGGTTATGATGTTGCATTGGTATGGCTATCACTCGTATAGCGACTGTATGTCAACAATGTAGCAATGCTAACCGGATCTTACTGTTACGACAGGAAGCATGTGCTTCTAGTTTCCCTTGTCTAGTGATGGAGTATGTCTGTTTCCCCGTGAGTCGTACTCGACGTATCTGTCCCATGTTGATTTTTAATGCCTATATCTGCGGAAATTGTTATGGTGGGAATATTTTCTAATTTAATCTTCTATATTAAAACGATATTTTCCATATCAACAAAACTCAAATTTAAAACAAACAAAATGTATTTGAAGATAGTCTTGATCCCTGGCGTATTGTTGATAGGCGCCGTTTCGGTACCGGGCGTTGACGCAACTCTAAACATGGTGCCATAAAATTGATAGTGAATATATGTTCATCTATAATTGCAATCAATGAATATATAACCAGTTAATGGTAGCATTGCAGTATATAACTAAACAGAATGTCGTATGAAAAAGTAACGGGGAAAATAACGTATAACACAGAAAAGTGCGAAATTGTAATTAAAATTTTAAAACGCATTTTTCCTGGATTATATATGGTATCAGAAATGATGTTTCTTATAAATCAAGAACGTATGTTGGATGACGTCGTGTCATGCCGTTCAGGTTGGAAACCCTGGTAAAGCTTATTTGGTCATCATTACACATCTATCTAGAAACTTGGTCTTATGACATCCTTTTATCACTCAATATAAATTAGCGTATTTTGAATATCTTATATACACAATACAATATGTTATACATACAACACAGCCAATGATACACATTACATTCTAAAATGTATCAATTCTTTACCTTACAGGTAAAACATGAACTTTCACACATACATATACATGTAGCATGCGCGTGTGTTTCCATGACCGATTTAACACGTACCAATGTATGAATCACACCTTCAGAATCCAATGCACGTTGCAGTCCAATCTTTGATATAAATTATACATGTCGTGCACCACACGCGCACAGATGAGATATCTGACAAATGGATAGAGGCCACTATGCATATACATACCAGAGTAATAGGGATGCCTGTGATTACTTAAGTTACAAATTACACGTGCATTGGTACCTGTTGCTATTGTTTTATACTAATGGCATTTCTAATTTCTTACGGTAAATAACGTGTTCCGAACACATGTGCATACCATAGAGTGAAGTAACGGTGTTGTCATTCAGTAAGACGTATGCGTATCTACTTGATATCTTGGAGTGTGTGACATAGATAAATATGTATTGTTATATAAGCAATATCTCTGATATGATACATGATATGCTCAACATTTAGGCTGGCAAACGTCAGACTACACCACACACAAAAAAAGGACAAATGTAGAACTATTCGGAGGCATATAACAAACCTTTGGGACTCCCAACACATAACATACATGTACTCGTCAAATATACTGTATGCTCAGTATTGCTAATTACCGTCATGATAAATTCGTTCTCATTACACGGAAGGCAATAGCTGGAAAAAGGTGAACGAATATACAATATATATATTTCCCTAATACATAATGACTCTTGGAAATGTGACAGGGTTATCCTGTTTGTGAAAGGTTGGAGAGATCAGCATCTCTTTTCGTCAAGAAAACATCGAAATTATCATAGCGCTATGTCGTTATCACATGCATAACTACCAGAGTAATCGAAATCAGATCCCAAATTCTTAAAACCATTCATTTGCTCGAACGAATATACTGTTGCAAGCTTAATTCAAGCGAGAAAATACGATTACCTTACTGTGTATGTGCTGTAGGTACTTACATGTTTATCTTTTTATCATGTCCAAAAGATCACAGCCGGTAACTACAGTAGCAAAAAAGTTTCAGATCACCATTTGAATCTGAGAAAAGAACGGATTTATGAACAAAGGCCTAGAGTGTCACATACTTTTGATCACAATTTCCATAACGTTTCCGGGAAAAAACTCTCATCTTATAACTTTTCGTTTGATTTTCCACTCATGAACATAGTATCATTGGATATGTGTCTTTTTTATAAAACATTTCGATGGAACTTTGTCAATTAATGGAAACCAATAAATGTAAAATCTTTGGCTGAGCTGTTTAACCAATAATATAGCAGAGGTAATATAAATTTATACACATAACGTTTCAAATATAAAGTCGTATCTTCTGTTTTATGTTTATTTTAAATTTAAGTTCTTACATATGACTTTTTACTTACAGAGGAAAGATACCATACTCTTCAGATTCATTGATTTTGCATTAAAATTTGTACATTAGACATGAACAAATTATGTGTCTCGTTTTGTCTATACCTCGGCGTCGTATTCGCACAATCAGGTGACATGTGGACTAATATGTTTTTTCTTCATGATCGTTACGTGAGTAATATCAACTTCCTCTGATCATTAACATACAACATATTAGTCCCTGCTATGATGCAAGAAATATTTTAAATTACCCTAACGGATCAGACGATTTTACAACCTGTTTTGTATGGATTGTCGTCTCCCCTCGTCCAAGTGTCACCTAGTCGTAATATCGACAATGATTTGTAATTGTTCCCAGTGTGTTGACCATTTGGTATCATTGTATTCCTTTTTTTCCCTTACCTACATTATAATATATTGGTAATTTAAAAAAGAATCTTTGATTATACTGTTCTGTTTTCCTTTTCTAATCAGAAGCATACAAACCTCTATTGTTCATGACATTTTAATATTTGTATGGTTAATTCACCACCAAGGACCATGTACAATTAACAAGATTTCATTTTATCTAGATAGGTCCATCGTGTTATTTTTTATTTATTTTTTTGCAAATCATCGACTTTATTCTAGTTTAATTTTAAATTAAACAAAGCTTAAGTTAAACAAAGCTTCTTTATTGTCAATAGATTAACGTTACTCTGATAAATATGTACAGATGTTATTACTTTAGTGTTAATGAACTGTTTCAATAACCGTAAACATAGCAGTAATTAGAGTTTTACTCCATCGTGTCCTAACGGTAAAAAGTGTCATCAAAAGAAAATATTTTCACAATCATGAAAACCTGTGCAAATTCGAGGAAATAATAAGCCTACTGTTTCCCCACTGCATTACCATTAAAGGCGACTAANGGGGGGGGGGGGGGGGGGGGGGGCGGGTATTCCTTGCGTTCTATTTACGGAACATAGAAGAAATCAAGAATAGACGTGTTGTATCCCACTGCACGTGTATCGTAAAATATGATAATGTGCCCTCCCCCTGCAGAATCGGGGGTCTCCTACGTAGGGGACATGGATTAGACCAAAATTGATCTGCTGCCCCCATCGCAACACTTGGGATCTTTCTCGGTTCCTTTATTTCATCTCTTCTTTCTTTTCTGTCTACTCTCTGTTTCAGCCCTGACTGTTGCGAGACGTTAAACCGCAAACAAACAAACAAACAAACACTCACGTGAAATATTTGTGCAAGACTTTTGTATTCACGTATTTCTTCTAACCGAAATATGGTCAGATATGATTTTTACGGAACGAGAGAAAGCTGGGTATTTCAAATGTAAACGAACAAAAATAACAACAAAAACTACATGATCAAACTCGACACATATCCAATGCCAAATCTACACTTCACCAATGTTGTTTTTCAGAAATGTAACATGCAAAGCATCAACATGAGAAATGATTACCTCGACAAGAAAAATATATTTTAAGCACGAAAAATGCCAATTTGTTGCTTCATCTTGTATATATAAGGGAGCCTACTCCAAATCGTTAAAAACTGGTTCCAAAGTGAAACTCCTTTTCGCGACTTACATTGATGCTACGGTACCCTTTACTCTAAGGTTACCAAGTATGATACGACTTAAGCTCTAATTTGAACAGTGACGGTTAGATAATGTGAGTTCCTGAAATCCAGAAAATGTAAATTTGTAACTGCAGTCAACCTACGTGATGTTGTCACTATTTCCCGACTATATTTTGGCAATGTAAAGGTTTTTGGAGATACAGATGAACATGGAAGGAGACGGAAAAGTTAAAATTAAGGGGAAATTACTTATTAAAATCTGTTTGCACAGTGGGATGCGAATGGAATCGATGAAGTGATATTGAGATTTTATTCTATATCTTTGAATGTCATTTGGACAAGGTATGATTGTTGCAGAACAGAATCACTTTAAAATGTTTTGTCCTATGGATCGCACACCGATATGTATGTATGATTCTTTCTACATTACAAGTACATACACTATCACTATATGATGTCTTACGCCAGCAAAACTACAACAACTCCAGCAAAACTCGAAACGAAAATCGACATAACCACGGAACTAATTGGATAAAAAAATGATGTGGTTGTGGCCAATTTCTGTCGGAAATATTCGTTCAGCATCCGGAAATTATTCCTATGTTAAATGAAGCATCTAATTTGGCCTGCGTCGAGATTTTTGTGCCGTTTCAATAAGTTTGGCTGCGGCTGCTGTCGACATTTTATTCCGCACCGTGTTCCCGTTTAATATTCCGACACCACTCATAGTCGTGATATAGACAGGTAACGTCGGATATTCCATTCTTAAAAAGCCCATCCTGTCCTGGTGCACATCGCTACAGACACCCATCTATCCAGTTTGTAGGAAGACCTAGTCTCGGTACGGAGCCGTGTATTATACATTGCTCTAAAGGATTCGTAGGCGCATGGTGTTGTGATAACCCAATACTTGCAGTACAGAATCCCTACCTTTTGGTAGTCTCTACTATTGCTGCTGCTGAAGCCACTACTGCCGATTCCCGCGCCAAACCTCTCGTGCAGTCGTTCTCATCAAATCATCAGCGCTGTACCATACGTCGAGAAGTTCAATACTTGGCGCGCAAAAATTATTTTTCTCCATAATTGTTCAGACAAATAGGGAAAAAGAACTGATTGTAGAATAAGCCGTGCGACATTTTAGTATGTTAAAACGACGATAATAAAACGAAAAAACACAGTTGAAAATTGGATTAAGATAAAAGTTTAATCCTTGATTGCTGGACTTTGGAAATTAAAATATGGACAATATGGAGGAAACACCAAGGCCAAAATTGATCATCTTTGACTTAGGTGAGTAGTAAATTGAAATGTTCTTTTCAATTATTTTATATTATCATCAATCTCCCCCACACAATGTTTTGTGTTTTTCCTTTCTTATATTTTGTACTGGTTTTTTGTTTTTTTTTGTTTTTGTTTTTACTTAGTATCAGAATAATGTTATGTACGGTTTGATAAAATATGATCATTTCAATTTAAATTTTTGTTTAATTTAATTTATAAAACAAACTTCGGTAATGCGGTTATTTAATACTATTTCATGAATTGTTATCTTTGCTACAATAATGGGTATATTTGAAAAAAAAATCACGTATACAATGTAATAGTGCACTGTATTCAACATTGTCACGTATAGGTACAGGGGCGTGTACTACAATGTAAGGCAACAGCTAATGGTACTTGAACTATGCTCTAAGCCTAACAGCAAGAACGCTTGACAGTGCCTGCACCAAAGCTTGATGGTGAAAGATAGTGCATACCTTGATGACTGTACTGTACACTATCACATTACTCGTAGGTTCGTAGACTAACGAGCAATATAAACTATTCGTCTGGGTGTAAATCTTTGATGACATAGCCAGCATTTAAGGCGTTTGCTATTTATTTATATTAGATATCCAAGGGAAAAACAGTGTGAATGTGGAAACAAACATTTTGGTTATGGGCACTGCATATAAATAACAATACTAAGGCGTCTATGTGACATACTTTTTCCTTGAATATATATGTAGGCGTTTAGAGCGATCCCGATTCTTACAGTACGTCCATGACCCTAGCGATTACTTTTTTGACAATATCTCCTTATTCTGTCGTCGTTAATATATATTATAAGAAACACATCACATTATCTTTGGTACGTGTCAACTTGATCTATATCAAAACCAGGCTACACAAGTTCTGAGACATCATGTCGTCAACACACAGCATCAGTAGCTATGATGTAACAGTGATTGACATGGAATATAAAACAAACTGTTACCCATATACCAATTGTCACAGTAGTGAGTTTATACAACCATGACAGCAATCAGAGCAGGAATCGACTTACGACCAATGGCAATGATAATTAACAACAATAGTTAATAGTACTATCAGACTTGTTCTAACACTCTCCGATGAAATAAATGTGCGAAAATTGACTTAAAGTATTGTTCATTGTATGCTATTGTATTACGCCCCGTAGTTATAAAAACATCGTATCATATAAGAACAAATAGGTAAGAGTATCTCTAACAGTTCTCTTTTGTTATTTAGACATTCCACAGATCATGCTATAGTGTAACATTTCATAGGATATTTTATAGCGTCGTCTTTAACGGTTGTGTAACGTCATATCAAACACGATTTACTTTCACAATTCATTTTTCTAAATCTTAGATACATCGTAATGACGACTGCTGCTCATAATATGTCCCCGATAAAAATGTCATATCAATAAGCTATATATGTTTAATTATCAGCAGGTCGATAACCATAAGTTTATTTCAACAAAAAAGTTCCCGGTGCAATTCCAATATCCAAAGACCAGGGCCCGTATTCATGAAACCGTTCTCATGCTCAAGAATTGATTCCGTGCTCACACCAGCATTCTTGTAACTCGCTTAGATCATGTCAAACGATCAAATAGTCAAATGAAAACATCGAAAACAGTATTTGGTTATAAGTCTCTCTAATATGTATCCAAATCATTGATAAAGAAGATTGATTTATTGAGTTATATTGAGCTGGGCCCATATTCATGAAACCGTTCTCATGCTCAAGCATGGATTTTATGCTCAAGCCGAATTTCTTGTTTACGCTATCAGTTATTTCAAATATTTCATTTTGTCAATGGTTTGGAAACACATTGAAGAGACTTACAGCTGAATACTGTTTCCAATGTTTCCTTATGACTTTTTGATCGTTTGACATAATTGAAGCGAGTTACCAGAAAGTTGGTGTGAGCACGGAATCCATGCTTGAGCATGAGAACGGTCTCATGAATACAAGCCCAGAACATACAGCACAGCGTGAAATTTCGCCCAGCCAAATATTTGCTCTTCATCGGTTTAACTTATATTCGTCTAGTATGTTTTCCATCCTTTCATATACATGTAGTTGATATTTAGTTAATTATGTGTACTAATAATTACTACAGTGATGAATTCTCTCTTGTTGCAAAAGGCGAAAACAGTGAAATTGAAACTGCGGCGAAAAATTTCCGGTTTACAGTATGTAACGAAAAGAAGCCGTAGGGATGGTAGTGTGAGTGTGAAGGATTGTAGAACGGGGAAAGGTTGGAATTACTGAATTCCTCGGATCCATCGCACTGTAGAGTGTTGATACAGTACAAAGAGTAGAACATATGGTAGGGAGATTAGTTCATTCACAATGAGAAAGGAATATCACAATTAAGCAAAGACTTGAGATTGTTGTACATTCTTGTGGAGATTTGTTCAGTGGGATGTTACATAACCTGCTGCTGCTGTTTATAGCATACAAAGAAACATTCCATATAACAAATAAAAGGCGGCTAATTAGCTAATTAACTCCGCCAAATACGTCATGAAAAATACTGGTTACGGTATTGCGTTTTTATATGCAGTGTACATTTAAGGTTGCTGTGATACTTTTGCTTCCTCTGAAAAGAATTGTTTTTTTGTTTTGTTTTTTGGATTGTAGAAAAATGTGACAATTGTGCCGTCTAAATATCCAATGTTTGATAATACGGCTTGCTAATTTCGTGCTATAAATGTATTTGTTTAAAAAAGCTTAGCTGCAGATACAGCTATACTTAATGTTGATGCGGTGTATCAACGGAACTCATTCCACCTTTAATAGGAACACTTCTGTGGAACCATACGTTTTTTATATATTAGTGGGTGTTTGATTATGTTCCTTATCACATATACATGTAATGCCAAACCACAGTATATCGAGACATTCTTATTTCCAGTTTATCATGCAGCAATAGTTAACAATACTAGTATAAATATTTCGCATTGGTCTTTAACCGATATACAGGGCGTCTGTAAAAGATTTGTTGTAATTCCGACATAGCAAACGCTGGCACAAATTTCTGGAACAAATTGGAGTGTTTATGATGTTATTATTAGGCAGGACTTTTCCCTATATGATTTATGTTAATTCATTAACGCTCTGGTTAACATGTAATACGACGTTATAATCTGACTTAACGCCGAACGCACGGTCGTGAAGGGGAAAATATGACTTTGTCTTTTGTGATGTTTGAAGTGTGATAATATCCTGCAATTCAATATTTATAATTACTCAATTTAACACTGTGGAGACATTGAATTTAGATATCGCATTCTAAAACGATATAATAACCAATATCCATATAAATTGTGTATTTCCTCTTTAAAAACCCTAGTTATCATGGTACCTTCTCTTTAGTTTATATACTGTATATTAACAAAAATAAATGAAAAACAGAAGGCATATGAGAATCATTTCGGCAGCGTGAAAATTTAGATATTTTGGTAATAGGAAAGTACGCGTATCACACGCTCGTCTCCGTTAATTAGCATGGCTCACTCATAGCGAGTGTCTAAATCCTTAGCTAGGGCCAAGTTGCTATCTCCCGTAATCTATGCTATCGACAGCTGCTGCCTCAGTGCGTTTGAATCATATATGCTCTCTATCGTAGTCCTTGATTCACCAAACTCTCCGTATCGCAGACTCGTGTCCTCGTCCGGATAAATGAAGCATTCCGTTTTTGCATGTTATCTTCCAAAATCTGGTAAAGCGATTTGGCATTATCTATGAAACTTGGCAAAAACATGCTTATATTTCAAAAGCTTATCATGTTTAAGGCATAATATGAATTTTTAATCATGTATATTCATAGTTATTGGTGCGTCCAAAAAAAGGTTGGAATGTATATGGTATACTTTTGACATTTTGCAATACCCTTAGTCGAATTCCGTGCCAAATTAAAAAAAAAAGTTTTGGATTTGAAGTGTGCCTTCGGTAAAATGCAATGCAATCACGTTCTAGTTTTAAAGGGTGAATTAACACAACATTCCTATCTGTTCTCTGTTGATAGAAGTAACCTAAATATACTTTTTTCGTAGTAATATGAGCATAATCTGAAACTATTTCCGTTTGAAATGAACATTTGCATCCTTTCACTATCTTATTGTTTCTGTCAAGAGGGCATAACCTGTTTCCAAAGAGCAGCTCTGATTGGATAATATATTAACATATTATATTTCCGCAGCCAATGTAAGGCGAGTAATTGCTTGGTCAATTTGTCGCTTCCTGTTTTACCAACAGGCACAAGTATTTCATTCATCATTGCCACCAGACGAACTGCAGCCTCGTTTAGAGCCTGCGGGATGTTAATCCGTCAGTGGAGCCACATTCAGCCACATGTTCTAAATTTATAAATTGTCTGTCGGTATTTATTTCAAGTTAATTGCGGACTCTGTCTGGCTTTGTGTGGTATGATAGGCCGGATACCATTATAGAATACTGTATATATAGCATTTAAATATTTTTCTAATCTCGTTTACATTGAATAAGCACTACCAATGTTTTATAACAATTGTTATGCAATCTTGAAGGTTTTTAACCTATTTCCCAATAATAAACAGTTTTTATCTAAATATTTATCAATAAATGACATGTAAGATACTTTTTTATTCAAGGATACAGCTTTAAAGATGTCTAGAAAGAAAAACTTTCTTGAAAACATAATTTGACGTTTTGTTAACTTAATGTAAGTCACATTTAGCCCTACAGTCCCACATCTTCCTCTGACTTAAAAATAAATAGCTACGATAGTCCATTACTCCGCGTGATGTCTTCAATTAATATTTTTTTCTGTTTGAGAAAGTGATTGGTAATGGTACACTTGATTTCAACTCTAGAGGCAATTCTTCCGAATGCATGTATAATCAATTATTGTCATATCTGTCACAAATGTATGTTTATTTGTATGAAATAGACATGTTTTATGTATACAAAAGATTTGATATATATCGTGTACACAAAAAAAATGCATATTT